TACAGGAGGAGATAGCTGTGGGGGATGGAGTGGTAGGAAGAGTAGAGGAGGTTGGCAAGTTAGCAGGGGGTGGGGTAGGCTTCCCTGAAGAGGTGGGTTTTCAGGGTGCACCTAAAGGAGAGGAGAGTAGGTGATAACCTGATGGGTTGGGGCAGGGAGTTCTAGAGGATGGGTGACACCCTGGAGAAGTCCTGGAGGCGGGCATGGGAGGAGGAGACCAGGGAACTAGAGAGAAGGAGGTCTTGTGAGGAGCGGAGTGTGCGTGTTGGGCGGTACTACTTTAGGATATTAGGTCAGTGAGGATGAATAGTTGGGCGGGGCAGTAGGGTGGACGGCTTTGTACGTCAGTGTTAGGATTTTGAATTTGATCCGTTGGGCAATCGGAAGCCAGTGGAGGCCAGTGGAGGGATTGGCAGAGGGGGTGGAGGACACTGAGTGGAGGCCAGTGGAGGGATTTGCAGAGAGGGGTGGAGGACACTGAGTGGAGGGTGGATTGGCAGAGGGGGGTGGAGGACACTGAGTGGAGGGCCAGTGGAGGGATTGGCAGAGGGGGGTGGAGGACACTGAGTGGAGGCCAGTGGAGGGATTGGCAGAGAGGGGTGGAGGACACTGAGTGGAGGCCAGTGGAGGGATTGGCAGAGGGGGAGGGGGGTGGAGGACACTGAGTGGAGGCCAGTGGAGGGATTGGCAGTGGAGAGGGGTGGAGGACACTGAGTGGAGGGAGGGATTGGCAGAGGGGGGTGGAGGACACTGAGTGGACACTGAGTGGAGGCCAGTGGAGGGATTGGCAGAGAGGGGGAGTGGAGGCCAGTGGACACTGAGTGAGTGGAGGCCAGGGATTGGCAGAGGGGTGGAGTAGAGGGGAGTTGGCAGAGGGGGGGTGGAGGACACTGAGTGGAGGCCAGTGGAGGGATTGGCAGAGGGGGGTGGCACAGAGTGGAGGGTGGAGGGATGGCAGAGGGGGGTGGAGGACACTGAGTGGAGGGATTGGCAGAGGGGGGTGGAGGACACTGGAGTGAGAGACCAGTGGAGGGATTGGCAGAGGGGGGTGGAGGCCAGTGGGAGGGATTGGCAGAGGGGGGTGGAGGACACTGAGTGGAGGCCAGTGGAGGGATTGGCAGAGGGGGGTGGAGGCCAGTGGAGGGATTGGCATGGAGCGGAGTTGGAGGGATTGGCAGAAGATGGAGGTGAAAGGTGAATGAGTCTGGCAGCCGTATTCAGGATGGACTGAAGCGGGGATACCCAGCGGCGAGGCAGGCCAGTGAGGAGGGGTTGCAGTAGTCGAGTCGTGATATGATGAGGGAGTGGATGAGCTGTTTAGTGGTTTCTGGGGTTAGGAACGTGCGGATTTTGGCGATGTTGCGGAGGTGGAGTCTGCATGAGTTTGTAGATGGATTTTCTTTCTTTTTCATGCTATTTGGAAAAATCTAAATAAAAATTTACTTTGTATTTTCACAATGTGTTTAGCCGTTTGCCAAGTGTTCTGCTTTATTATCCTCTGAGTATCATTCGAATACATTATTGTACCCAACTTTTGATGACCATATTCACCCATTTATGGGCACTAGGTAGGAGCACCTGTTGTTACATTTGAATAGGCAGAATCTCAACAAATGTTTAAGGATTAGAGTGCGTCTTCCTGGTAATAGTATGTACTTTTCCTGAGCTGTTCATTTATAAGAAGGTAAAAATATGCTACCCCCATGTATGAGGTTACAAAGGGAACGGGCAAAGTATTTCATACAGAAAAGGAGATGCTGACGTTTACAGCTTGTCTGTATATGTACTGTAATAGCATGTACTGTTCCTGAGCTGAACATTTACAAGTGAGAAAACAACATGTATCCCTATATATGAGGTTACAAAGGAATGGCTAATAAAAGGAAAAGTATTTAACATAAATAGTGAGGCACTGGAATTTATAGTTTGTAAAATGTAAAATTGTTCTGGAAAAGACTGAGCTGGTACTGTCTCAGAGAACATGTTAAAGTGACCTTTTGAGAGCTTCAAATCCGTTCCTTTGGACTCCTCCACTGTATATAATGGAGATGAGTACTGGGGCTGGGGAGGATGTTCTGTAGCCCAGCAAGGGCGAACTCGACAGGAAGAAGGGGCAGCCGCACACCGGAGGACAGAGGAAGGGCGAACTTGAGGCTAGGAAATTCAGTGCACCAGTGGCAGCGCTCACTACAAGACGCTAGGATCTTACTGGATTTCTGACAGGATCAAAAAGTAGTTTTCTGTACTTGTGATGTTTTTAAAGAGGCAAAACACAGGGAAATGCAAATGTAAGGAAGAGACATGCTGAATATTTTTTTTTTATATTTTGCTCAGACATACATTTTAGGGCTCATGTACACTGCAGCTGCTAAACTGACATTCAGGAGCTGTTGAGCAATTTTTTTTCAGCAGCCCCTGAACTCTCCCTAATGTTTTCCTGTGTCAGTGTACATATAGTTGTTTACAGTCATTTTTTTTAATGCACCAAACTTGCGTTTAAGAGTAGATTTTACCGGCGTTTCAAACGCTTGTAAACGCGGTTAACCACGTTTATAAGCGTTTGCATTTAGAAGTGTTTTTTAACTGTTCCATATCCAATTGCTGTCCAAAGCCTTTTTTCATCATGCAAAGCATTTTCCATGTATTCAAATGGACCTAGTACACCAGCCCAGTCAGTTCCATGTTTCGCGTGAAGGAAAAAATGGTAGAACGTGCTGCATTATGCTCCTGATGGGATCCATAATGAACACAACCAGAAAAGATAGGTGATCTCAACACATACTGATCTCTCTGCTTCTGCTCTCTCTATTTCTCTCAAAATGTCTGAAATGGTTAATTTTTTACTGTTTTTCAGTGCATTCTGGGCATTTTGGAAAGTCTCCTGAGGTTATCTTTTAAAAACGCTTCTAAACGCAAACACGCATAAACGCGGTATGCAAAGGCGGCTAAACTGACGTTTTTTAACCTACATTTTCCATTGTTCAGAAGAGTTTTCCAAACGCCCCATGTACATGAGTTCTTAAGTGGAGGCATATAAATTGCATGCTGATGAGGTCCTGCATAAAGAGTGCTTTTGTGTGGCACCAGAAGTTTGGCAGGAGACCTCTTATCCTGGCACCAGGCGTACACTGTTATGTGTTTCATGTGGCATCTTCTGGGAAGTATTGCTGGCAAATTATCAGGGAACAGCTGCAGCTGATGACCTTCAAACATCACATTGTCTCTGTAGCAGCCCCTAAAATATCTGAAGAGCCCAATAATGGCCCATCACAATATCTATATATATCTGTCCGGACTGGTGAATCTAGTATGGTCTGCATGCGGTCTTATCTATTTAAACGTTTTTAATGTCAAAGCAAGGTAGATGTGATACTTTCTCATATTTGTTTTCTATCAACAAGCGCTTATTTTGTATGAGTATAAGATTTTTTTTTTTTTTTTCTACCATTGGGGCATAGAAGGTTTTGGAAGAAGGTCCCCCGGTCTCACTAAGGTTGAGAACCACTGCTCCATCTGATCCAAGGTGCAGGCTCACCACTCCATCAAGTTACAGCCTTTCAGATGAGTGCAGGAAAAAAAAAAATACACCAGAATTTCAAGTATAACAAAAGGCAAACCTGACAGATTTATATTGCTGTTTGTGCCGCTGATAGGAAAGATTCACCCTCTCTGTACTGTCTACCGTCATCACCGAAGAAAGTAAAAATATATTCCATATTTTGGGTTTTCCCCATAACAGTAATAGAGGGGAACTCGTTCAATGTGGACATTACTTCTGCTGACCCTGGTGCAGGAGATAATTCACACTTTGTGTTTTGGCTATGGAACAGGAAGTGAAGAGAAATCTCCCCAATCAGACACAGATGGCAAATATAACACTGATAAGGGTTATAACCCCCCCCCCCCCCCCCCCGGGGCGGACTGACCATTTGGAAACTCGGGCACTGCCCGAGGGCCCGGGGTCAGTAGGGGGCCCCATGAGATGCCCCTGGTACCTTTTTCATAGGTTTTTTGGGTTGGGCAAGGACACAGGGGCCCCATGATCCCCTATTGCCCGGGGGCCCCATGAGTTGTCAGTCCGCCCCTGCCCCCCCACCACCACCACCACCACCACCACACACACACACACACACACACACACACACACACACACACACACACACACACACACACTCACTAAAAAAAAAAAAGTTTTGCCTTGCGTACTACTTTAACCACTTGCCGACCAGTCATGTACCTGGCGCGTCAACGGTCTTCAGGTGGTTGTACCGGGATGATACTGGTTAGCTTTCTTGTAATAGCAATCGGAGCAGCTAACTAGCCGAACTCCCCTTCCCCCTCTCGCAGCTTTAACCTCCCTAGCGGTCTGATTATGTCCATATTTCTGTGCTCAAAGCGGTACATTTTTTTGCATGGAAATATATATTTTTTTTATTGTAGGCCTGTAATTTTTAGGAATAACTCACTGAAATCTGTCTGAACAAGAGTCTAGTAAACATCCCGGGTAGGATAAAATTTGAAACAAGAAATCATAAATTATAATTTAATAAATAATCATAAAAAATAATAATATAATAATAAATTTAATTCAATAATATAATCAAACCAAAAACACTGAAATTTGAAATATAGCGCCAAGTCGCAAAATCGTTTTCAGTGTCTGATGACGAATTTCCCCCACGAATCATTATCACTCAATTCTGCAAGTGGTTCTGATTTACTATCGCTGTTCTCTAGCTGGTCTAAAACCGATGTTGACCTAAAGGGACGCTTTTTGGACGCCATGGACGTTTCTCAGTTTCCAGGCAGAAAGAACAGTAAAAATGTAGGCAGGGCGCTGGACAAAGCACTCGGGACAAAATGTATGTGAAATTGTTTGATACAGGAATGTTATACTATGTGATTTTAGTGTATTTAGTGAATGTCACTTTTGGTCATTTTCAAATTTCCCGCCGTTCCGTCCCCAGTACGTCCCGACGCTTGCAGGAGATGGAACCCAGATGACAGATGCCGGCATCGGCCGGATTACATTGCCGGGGACACCGCAGGAGGGACATCGCGGAAGCGCAGGACAAGGTAAGTGAAGAACAGATGCCGGAGCAGCGCCGCATGGTAAGCCCGAGTGTAGCTCGGGGGGGGGTTACCGCTTTTGGTACTAAAACTTTACCCCGAGCTGCACTCGGGAATACCTCCAGGGAAGGTTAATGGGAGCTCCCGTCCCACCGGCTTTGTTCAGCTCCATTAAATAGTAAACCCGGGAGCGAAGACCTGGCATCACTTGTGGTTTACTCGGAAATACAAAAAAAAAATAAAAGCATTCAGTCACACCGTTCTTGGTGTGATTAAATGCTTGCAAGAGTAGAGGAGGGATTTTGGGGTCTTGTTGACCCGGATCTCTCCATAAAGAGAAGACAGGTCTATAGCTGTCACAAGGAATGTGTACATTTTTTGTGACCGTAATAAAAGTGATAAATTGTGACAGTGTAAAAAAATAAAATAAAATGTCCCTGTTCCCCCTGTGCTTGCATCGGACATTTATTCCTTTGATTGGCCAGAGTATTTTCCATGGACATGAATAATCACCCACGTTCACACGCATTTTTCCCACGTCTAGCATTTTTTGGCCAAACTGTTCCTGTCCTGAACGCGATTCTTCTGCTTTCAGAAGAGGAAAGTTTAACGCCCCCTAAACTCTACTGCTCATAAACTCTGGTAAAAGCCTGTGTGTACATGGACACACAGGCTTTTATTGAGTTGAATTCAGGGGCTTTTGCAAAAACCGCCAAAACTTCCTAAACTCACGTGTAGGAGCAGCAGTGTACATGAGGCCTAAAAGCTGCCATAGATCTTATTTTTCTTTTTTTTCCCTAAGGAAGTCTTTCCAACATATGTAACCTGAAGGGCTGGTCCCTTGTTATCTGTACATTCTTTCTGTATTTTATCTTGCATTTCCTAGTTGTGGATGATTGACAACTGCATACTACCTAATTTATCTGTTTATTTAATCACTTAAAGAAGTCTCTTCATGTCATGTTATAAAAATGTAAAAGGGAAAAAAATGTATTGGAGTAATGAATCATTTCTCACAACCACTAATAGATTATTTCTGTGCGCCTAAACTGCACTGTACATACAGAGAGCGCAGGGAGCGTGAAGGAACATTTGTAACGGCACGAGCAATATTCGTTTTAAATTGTTTAAAATAACCTGGGGAAATGGGATTTTTATTATTTATTATTACACTCTTGAATATACAGTATGTATGCAAATATAGATCTACATAAAAATATATTGAACTCTATAAAAAAAATAAAAGTCAGCAGCTCCAAAAACTTTTAAAAAACAGCCACTCACCTGTCCAACAATCCTGCCTTGCCCCGCCACAGCCCGTTTCGCCGGCCGTCCTCTATTCAAGGTGCCTGGATCTTCAGTGTGGGCACCCGGCTGTGTCAGCTTGTGGCTTCACAGCCGGGTGCCCACTGCGCATGAGCGAGTAGCGCTGCGCTTCCTGAATGGCCCCGTCATCTTCTGGGACCTGTCACGTGTCCCACAAGACTTCGGGGAGGGAGGGTAGGAGGACAACTTCCATTTCCAGTACATCAAACCTGGCCACTTCTGTCTACAGTAGTTCACTGTCATCCACCCTGGACACATTGCCCCCCTTACTACACACTGCATTAGGCCCCGACTGCTACAGCCCTGAACAACAGACAATACCAGATGCCTCAAAAAACGTAGCCGTGCTCTTGAGCATTTATGGCGTAAGACTAAGACCCAGCAAGACTTCGACCGATATAAATCTGCCCTTCAAAAATACAATTCTTGTCTCCACACTGCCAGACAGACCTATTCTATCACTCTCATTAACACCCTCTCATGCAATCCCGTTTCTCTTTTTTTACCTTTAAATCTCTACTTCATCCTTCTTTACCTCCACGCACTAACTCACTCACTGCCCAGGAGATTGCTAATCACTTCAAAAATAAGATTGATACTTCATGACGAAACACTGTACAGATCTGATACAATTCATGACGAGCTCTACCCTACACTCCTTGTCCACAGACATCTCCCTCACCCTACACTCCTTGTCCACCACTCTCCCTCACCCTACACTCCTGTCCACCAGACATCTCCCTCACCCTACACTCCTTGTCCACCAGACATCTCCCTCACCCTACACTCCTTGTCCACCAGACATCTCCCTCACCCTACACTCCTTGTCCACCAGACATCTCCCTCACCCTACACTCCTTGTCCACCAGACATCTCCCTCACCTGCTACACTCCTTGTCCACCAGACATCTCCCTCACCCTACACTCCTTGTCCACCAGACATCTCCCTCACCTGCACTCCTTGTCCACCAGACATCTTCCTCACCCTACACTCCTTGTCCACCTGCACAATCTATACTTCCCTTGTTTAACTCAGCTACTACAGAGGAGGTTGGTAAACTGTTTTCTAAAGCCCATCTAACCACCTGTCCCCTGGGCCCTGTTCTCTCGCAAATACAATGGTCACCCTCTGGCTCTATCCTTCATTCTTTAACTCATATCTTCAATCTCTCCCTTTCTACTGGCATCTTCCCCAACTCTAAAACATGCACTAGTCACCCCCATACTTAAAAAAGCCTCACTGGACCCCACCAATGTTAGCAATCTAAGACCCATCTTCTTACTCCCTTTTGCATCCAAACTCCTTTAACGTCTAGTCTACAACCGGCTGGGCTGCCACTTATTGAGAATAATCTTCTTGATCCCCTTCAGTCTTGATTTTGCTCACAAACACTGTAATGTACCTGGTGGTGGAGCCTTATGTGGAAAGAGGGCGTCCTCTTACCACTCCCGTTCGGGACCCCTGATAGGGTAGACAGGACGTAACGAGCTGGGAGGGGCACGAGTGCTGATGGGTCTGCGGTGGCAGGTGAAGACCCGGAATACCAGGACGCAGGTAGCAGGATGTACGTGAGCAGGTGCAGCAGAGAGGTGTAGCTGAGATGCGGATGACCGTGTCAGCTGGTAGCCAAGGATAGTCACAGGCAGTGTAGAATAGTCAGGCAGGCCGGGTCAGGATCGATCGGACGGATGAGGTACAGAGGAGCAGGAAAGCGGATAGTCAAAGGGAGAGCCAGGTCAGAGTTCAATTCAAGTCATTTGGTCAGTGCAGGTGGAGTTCAATCGTTGTCAGTCAAGCAAGTGGATCACAGGAGTCAGGATACAGGAAACAGGAAGCAGTAGACCAGAAGGCGCCATTCCGTTTGTAGCAGGGGTTTAAATAGCCCACCTGTGCACGTCAGCACATTCGAATCTAACCTATCTCACCGCAATTTCAGTGTCACTTACAACTCTACTTCCTCCTCTCCTACTGTCGAGGTCCCCTAATGTTCTATCCTTGAACCTTTCCTGTTCTCGATCTACACTTCTTCCTTGGGTCAGCTGATAGCTTCCCATGATTTTCAATACCATTTCTATGCTGATGGCACACAAATCTATCTCTCTACTCCTCAGCTCACCCCATCAGTTTCCTCACGTATCACCGATTTACTAACAGACATATCAGATTGGATGTCACACCACTTCCTAAATCTCAATCTATCCAAAACTGAGCTCATATTTCCTCCCCCACGTGCCTCTTCTCCTGATTTATTGATCAGGATCAATAGCACCACTATCAACTCATCCCTGCATGCCAAGGTGCTAGGTGTAACCCTGGATTCTGAACTATCCTTTCAGGCCCACATCCAATCCCTGTCCAAATCATGCCACCTCAACCTCATCAACATCTCCAGAATACGCCCTTTTTTAACCAACGATACCACAAAGCTCCTAATTCACTCACTGTTTATCTCTCACCTCGACTACTGCAACTCCCTTCTCCTTGGCTTACCGTTACATAGGCTATTCTTCCCTCCAGTCCATCATGATTACTGCTGCCTGGCTCATCCACCTCACCAACCATTCAGTGTCTCCTACTCCTCTCTGCAAATCCCTCCACTGGCTTCCACTCGCCCAACAAATAAAATTCAAAATACCAACAACAACTTACAAAGCCATCCACAACTCTGCCCCCAGCTACATTACCAACCTGGTCTCAAAATATCAACCAAACCGCTCTCTTCGATCCTCCCAAAACCTTCTGCTCTCTAGTTCCCATGTTACCTCCTCCCATGCTCACCTCCAGGACTTCTCCCGAGCTTCCCCCATCCTATGGAACTCCCTACCCCTATCTATCCGGCTGTCTCCTAATCTATCCACCTTTAGAAGATTCCTGAAAACCTTTCTCTTTAAAGAAGCCTATCCTGCTACTAATTCGTAAACCGCCGTTTGTGTCCTCCATCAACTCATCCCCCCACAGCTATTACCTTTTGTATCACTCAACCCTTCCTCCTAGACTGTAAGCTCTGACTAGCAGAGCCCTCTGTTTCCTCTTGTACCAAATTGAATTGTAACTGTAATGTCTACCTTCATTTTTTAAAGTGCTGCGCAAACTGTTGACGCTATATAAATCCTGTATAAAAATAACAAAAGAATAAAATACTTAAATGAACACATAAGGTGGTGAATATGAACACAGTTGAAATGAACTATAAATGTCTGTCGAGATGGTATATAACACCCAGTGTGGCACATAAACAGCAAGTAGATGCTTCACCAATTATGTTGGAGAAGTTGTGGGGAAGAGGGAACTATGGAACATACAGTTGCAAGAAAAAGTATGTGAACCCCTTGGGATTACGTGGAGTTTTGCATGAATTGGGCATAAAATGTGCTCTGAACGTCATCTAAGTCACAACAATAGAAGAACACAGTCTGCTGAACATAATACTACACAAACATTAGATGTTGCCATGGTTTAATTGCACATAACAGTGCAGGGAGGAAAAGGTATGTGAACCTTTGGACTTAATAACTGGTTGACCCTCCTTTGGCAGCAATAACCTCAACCAAACGTTTCCTGTAGTTGCAGATCAGACCTGCACAACGATCTGGAGTCATTTTGGACCACTCCTCTTCACAAAACAAAAAGTGGTTCACATACTTTTTCTTGCAACTGTATATGGTGGGATTACTCGACA